ATTACAAAGGAGGAATACTTAACAGCAATGCAAAGATTAAAAACAAGCAGAGTATATTGATTATAAAGGATCTTATTTTGAATCAATAATGATAGAAATTTTTATCTAACGTACTCTTTATTTTATACGTATATTGAAATTTTATAAACCACACTATATGTATTGCAAATTCATTTAAATATCGTAGATCTTTTTTGATTTTACGATATTAATTTGCTATGTAGGCATTGTTTTATAGAATCTGCAATTTTGTCAATTGTAAAGTGACAGCCCAGGAAAAAATGAAGAAGATTTCACTATGTATATGTAGATCTCATTAGATCTAAAAAGAGTTCTTAAGAGATCTTCATTTTGATCTGATCAAAGTAGATCGATGTAGATTTACTTTGATTTATTTATATCCTAATATATAAACATTATCTCATTAGATATAATATATTTTTAAGCTTTAAAATGCGTAGTTGAAAACCTCTGAGATTTTTTTTCGTCAAGATACTTAACTTTTCGTAAAATGCGACAAAATTGCAATTATGCCTTACTGCCTTATATATACCTTTGGATTATAGATCTATTTTGATATTATTATATCTCTGTAGATCTCTGTAGATATGTGTACATCAATTTTTATTAGATTACACTTGTACATATATATATCTTCTTTAATATTATTATATCTCTGTAGATCTAATATTTATTACATTTAGTTTCATTGTATAAAGTTAAATATTCATATATATCAATATATTCTCGTAGATCTACAATATGCTTTCTTTATTATATTCAATATAGCATTTTATTTATATCGCAAATTATTTATTTAGATCTTAATGGATATAATCATGTGAGGCCAAGCTAGATTTCTGAAGATTTGATTATATCTAAAAACTAAATCTCATCAGATACAATTTGATCTTATTTGATCTAATTTGATCTACACATATATAATGAAATCTTCTTCACCTTTTTCCCGAGAGATACAAACCACATTATTGGATCGAAATATTATATACAGTGCCCGCCAAAAATTCTGGGCTGGCTGAACATCAAGCCTTATAACTCGAAAAGTAATTAAAAATGAACTTTATTGTAGCGTTTTGAAAAGCTTTTGACATCAGCTATTAGATTTTGGTATCAAAAATAGTGTATCCGATTTAAAAAAATTGATGTGATCTTGACTTGATATTGGCAACGCCACCCAAGATCAAACTGATAAAATCATTAATATGTAGATCTTTTTAAACCCTACAATTTTTGTCTAAAACATTTTTCTCAAAAATGCATACTTTCCGAGATATTCAGCCGACCGTTACTTTTGGTGGGCACTGTATACTATAGTTATATCGCAATAACATTTACATATTTTTGCAGGAATCAAATAAAAATTTTTAAATGAAGTATAAGATAACAGATCAGTGACGGAAACTAAACAGATCTGTCAAATGCAACTTAATAATGTTAGCAGAAATTGAATAAACTCGCTATTTCATAATCGTTCAATCAGTACAATCAGTGCAATAATATAAATACTTTGAAATATTCTTTGATTGATTTAATAAAATTTATTAAAATTCTTTCTCCTGATTTTGATCGATCAAATGTTTCTTCTAAACATTTGTAATAAGATTTTGACTACATCCTAAATAATGTTTGATTTACAGTAATAACTGATTTATAGGGATGCGATTTAAAATCAGTCTTAAATTGAGCTCTTGTTAATTCTTTATATTAATTTTTAAGATATGACATTTTTGTATTAATTTTATGATATATCTTTCGCAGGACTGAGAATAAAAGAGTTATTCTATAAAAGTAATTGGTTATTGCAGTTACCATTCTTTTTTCTGAAATTTGTTTATCGTTACTTGTTACTGTTTAAAAAAATAACTTTGTTATCGTTATTAAAAAAACTAATAAGAGTTACAATTCTCTTTTATTTTCTTATCAAATTTTGATGGCATATTTTTGAAGTGACATTCAATTGTCTTGCGTCATCAATTGATCAGTTCAACGTTTTATTAGAAATTAGATTTATTAGGGAGTTTTTGCCAGATACGGTAAACGCTATAGGTCACGTTATCTCCTTAACAACTAATTAAGAAAAGGATAACGTGATTTTAGCGTTCTGGATCACCGTATCTGAATCCACATTATTGCAAAAACTTCATATTTTCTGATATAAATACCATTTCGATTTTTTATGGTGAGAGGTGGAGTGCTGCCCTAACAAAGATGACTGTTAGGCAAATTCAAACTATGGCCGTATACACTACAGTACTGAAAACTATAAGATATACGTAACATAACGTAGTTAGTACAGTTCGTATCGAAACACGACCTATGTATCAATATTTACATTCTAACAAAGATTTATATATCACTGTCTTCGACCTTCGTCGAATATCTCTATATGGTATAGACGTTACGTCCTAATTAGTAGTTATCATTAGTTATAAAAATTGCAATGTCATTATCAAATTATCATAAAAAGTAAGAGAAAAAGTAACAAAATATACATATAATAAGTACGTCAAATTTACTGAAACAGTTTGTATCTTACCAATTTTTTAAAAAGATTTTCGTTGAACGCCACTCGATCAATGTATTTCCAGTAGTGTGAAACCAATATTGCCAAACTCGTCATGCTTGTCATTGCGATATAACTATATCATCTGTTAATAATCTATCCCTGTTATGACCGAAATTTCTGGGTATTAATTGTCATCCCCAGATAATAATTGATAGACGTCACGTTCAGTTCGCGTATTAATTGCGTTATATAGTGGTTGACATGTCGGTGCGCGGTGTCCAAAAGATTCAATTTTTTTAATTAAAATTTGGAGCGAGAAAATATAGTTACAAAAATAAAATGACGCAATATTCGTAGAAAAGAAAGTAGGAAGTTAGAATTAAAAGGTTTCAGGAATATTAACAATTTTGTATGTGAGAAAACCGAGATATCTTTCGAAACTTTCTTTAAGAGAATGCATTTTTTCTTATCTGAAAATCGCTTATATTTGTAAACCCTTGGACTCGATTTACGATCGTTTTTTAAAATCTGCCTAAAAAATTGTATCTCTATTGTCTTAGATTCCTTTAAAAATTCGGTAACCTTCCAATGATGTATTTGCGATGTAAATGCAAATAAGTCTCCTGACAAAGGCAGCTATCCTGATGTGAGAATCGCGAAAGAGATAGCAGGATAATCCGTCCGTTTATCTTCCTTAGCTACCATAATGGAAAGCTACTTATTTCCTTTTCGCGGTCAGATCGAGGATTTAAAGCTACGAATCTGTAAAACTGATAGTCGGCCTGAATCGCGGATTTCGTTTCGCATTCTAAAAAGCACTCTATAAGCGATATTTCGATAGGCATTATTGATCGTCTAAAAGCGGCTTGAATTATTCACAAATCAAAGAGCACCTAAAAATCTAATATTTAACAAAATTGGAATAGGAAAAAATGTTCTCATAAAAATATAAAGATTTAGGAATAAAAGTACGTAAAAATTATGAAATCTAAAATGTTAAAAAAGTATGATAAAATATAAGAATTTTTCGATGCAGTAAACAAACGATGAAGAAAAAATTAATATATGTTATATAATTCATATTCACTTTATACTCAGGAAACGTTTTTAAAACAGTTTTATTTAAATAATACAAAGATAAACATAGAAGGTAATGTTCCTGCATGAAAATAATTAGATGTGTATATTAGAAACATATTGCAGTTTTAAAAGGTTCTCCAGTTCTATTACATCGAATAAAAGAAATTACTATAAAGGATCTTTGAATAAAGTAGTGGCACTTATTTTTATTGTTGCCATATCAACTTTTCCACAAATAACTTCATTGTATTTTTACAATCCATATGTTATACTTTAATTAATATAATATAGGCCACAGAATAATTAATCATTGACCTTCAAACAAGCATTGACTCTGTTTCATTCATGATATATTGTTTCATAGTTCGAAATATTTCGATCTATTTTTAACAAATGCAATTCACGATATATTAAGATTCTTTTATATTTGAATCAAACTTTCTTCCCTCGTCTCTATACACAATTAGTTTTTATAATATTTACACATTAATAGTTTAATACAACACTGTGAACTCACAATCAAAACGTGCATAAAGAAATAGGAATTGATCATAGTATCCTTTAAAGAAATTTATGAAATTAACTTCTTTTCAGGGAAAAAAATTGTAAAGTGAGAACTAAATATCACATGAAGTAGCGTAGCGTACTGCAGTCTTTGGCGCATCTCTCTTTCATTCGTCAACTTTATCTATTTGTACATCTCGTCTAAAAAGAAATGCGCATGACATGCAAAATGAAGCAAGACTTTGAAGACTCTAAAGATAGATTAATATCTTTTTATACATGTGTTTTGAACACACACATTAATTTGTAAAAATATTTTTAATTCTTTTCATTTAGATAAAAATTCGCGCTTGAAAAACGTGATTCTCTTTTTGCTACTTGTCATTCCTATGTTACTAATCAAATGTTATTTAATTAAGTTTAGAATTAGAAGTTTAAAGAGTTGCGATCTTATACGAAAAGATCGCGTCTTGGCCGAGCTATAAATCATGGAAGCCGTATAATAAAATGTAGAATGAAGTCGAACTTGAAGTTTATTGAAAAATACGTACCTACTACTAATAAATTCCTATTTTTTATGCACAAATAACGTATTTTTCTGTTGACCATTTTCAACGTAGATGGTCAACATTCACGTGAGAATAAAATCTCTCTTTACATCTGAATTTCGTAATTATTTTCAACAATTACATATATATCGTATATACATATAATTATATTAATATATATATATATTACTATTTGCAAAAACAGATAATTCATCATGAATCTTTAATATTACATTGGAACAATTATGAAAAAATTAATAGCAGATGTCTATTATTCAACCCAGATATGCTTGATACTCTGTATATAGATATACAACCTATTCATGTTGTTTATAATTAAGTGACACTGCAGCTTTGTTATAGATATTCCATTTCCTCGTTTCATCTTACTCACCTCTACTCTTCGTTTTATGCTGCATTTATGACAATTATAATGTATCTTCCGATATAAATTTATTACTTATATACTTGGAACCATAAAGAAAGACATACTACAACTACATGAAGGCACACATCTGGGTTAAACACAAATATATATCCATATGTATTGCATTGTGATAATACTCATTTTCTCGAATTGTAATAATCTATAATCTCTAGAAGTAAAGTTCGATAACTATATCTGGATAAAAAGGTATTACAATATATGACGACGTATATTTATAAAATATATAGAATAAATTATAGATTTCGTTACAAAAATTAGTCAATATATACCAATATGCATAAAACACTTAACGAAACAACCGTGTACCTTTCATATTGTTCCCTCTCCCATTTTTATATATATCATGGAGATCAATAGAGTAATGAACTGACTAAAATTGCACTACATGTCAAAAAAATATACGATCCTTATAAGTATCGCACAATGTAGTGGCAATATACATTGTTGAGAAAATAGTGCGTGTGATCTTAAATAATTCTAGGAAAAGGCAACGTGTATACATTATACATGGATTTAATAAGATTTTGCTAGATGGAAGAAAATGGCTTATTTGCTTAATAACTTCAGCCCATTATTATTATTTTTATGTAACATTTTTTATAGACTTTTTATCGTCATTAAACAGAGCTGATTTGGATAGAAGAACCAATGGACTCTGTTTCATTGTGTGCTCTTAAATTAATAGAATTTTCCATATTACTACCATCGGTAACGTCAGTCTCTCTACTTAACGCCAGTCTCTCACCGTCGATCAACGCCACATTTGGATCTATTATGATCGCATTATTTTCTACGTTATTTTTCTTTCGAATCGCACATCCATTGACATTTGCGTCAATTTCTGCTTGCTGTTCACTATTTAACATTGATAAACTCCCTTTAATACTCTCCTTTGACGTCGCTTGAGAGCCGAGCTTCTTCTCTTTCTCGGATGCGATGTGAGCATTTTTCGTTACCTTCCCTTCTTTCTCTTTAGGTTTTTTTCCGAGCACGGGGAAATTTGTAATCTTCGAAGCAGTCTTTTGATCTTTTGATTGTCTCATGGAACCAAAACGGTTCGGTTCTGTTGATTCTGATTCCTCCATGATTGACACCAGGTTACCTTTACCCTCTCCGGTAGTGTCATCTTTTATAACTTGTATTGGTATGTCATCTGAAGACAAAAAAAATGGTTTCTGTATTATAAGAAAAGAAATTTTTATCGTCGAATTGGAATTGACAATAATAAAAGCAATATTAAAGTTAACAAGCATCTTAGAGGCAAGGAAACACATATACATAATGATTCATTTAAATTACACATGTGAAATGTGTATTATGCCATAGATACAATGTTTGTTTATGTTTGCCTAGAATACAAATTAATAAAATAGAACATTTAAATAGCATATTAATTGCACTGTGCATATGCAATAAAATGAAAAATTTTTTTCTTAATAAAGAAAGATACAAGAGATATTTTGTAAAATGTGTAAACCGATATCACATTAATTTTTTTTCTATTAATTATAAGTTAATAATACATACAGATATACAGAACTATAGACATATCGTAAATAAGTGGATTTAAAACATTTAAGGAATATGTAGGTTGTGTAGAGAATATTATGTAACATTAGATATAGAGAATATATGCAATGCAGAAAATTATAATAAAAAAAGAAAGGTAGATTGCAAAAAGTAATATTCAAATAACAGTGAGAAACAGATAAAATAGTAGGAAAGGAACATCGAATACATTTTCTAGTCGAGCAATATACTTGAAATTCTTGGTGCGGGAAGATAAATGTGCCATGTTGACATGCATGTTTTCCAGTCATGCGCTGGTTTCTGTTTAGATTTTGTTTTATGCGTATGTCTCATTATAGCTGGGAGTGGTATTTCTGAAAGGAATACATCCACGATCACATGAATTATTATAAGTCAACAACTCATTCCTGCGTGTGCGCTAGTGTATACCAAATTAAAATATAATTGTAAGTTTGATGAAGAATCATAGCGTGATGAGATTTACACCATCCTACAGTGTTGTAACTGGAGTGATAATACCATGTGTTTGACGACAGTGCGGCAGTGGCACAATAATACATTGATCTACTGTTGCCTTCTGTATATACATTTTCCACCGATTCACGAATGATCTCTCCCAGAGCCTGTTCCTCTAACAAGCTATATAGATGAGCATTAGCTGCCAATCTATCGTCGGAAAAAGTGGAATCGCACATTACGTTACTGTCTTTTCTAGTTTTCTGACTAATATCGTCCTTATTGTCGATAACTGTTTTCTTTGATTGCTGATCTTTGCTCTTTTTAGGAGAGGACTTTATCGGCGAGCTTTGGCTGCTGCTGCATATACTTCCACGTCTAGAACTTTCCAATGAGGAGGAAGACTGCGCCTTCCCTGCACCTGTATCCTTTTTATCGACCGAATTTGGAAGTGCATGCTTCCAATGCCATGGACGACGTTTGTGGCTGCCTGATACTGTCGGTCGCTGTTGTTTCTCGGCTTGATAATTGCTCAATTCGACCGCAAATAACTTCTCATCCAGATCGTCTAATGACATAGACGCGCAATCCACATTTGTTTGGACTTTTTATACATATTACTCTCTAACTTATACATATTTTAAATTTTTATAATGTGCGAACTTGGTTCAACATTTTCACATATTATTATTTATAATAATATATTAAATACGTATTTTTTATGATTTATGAGTTATTAAGAAAATCGAACAATACAGATGAGGGGAAAACATGAATAATACATTGTACGTGATTTTCCCGAAAATATGTGCAGTTACTGTATCAATATTGTTTGGACAACTATTCATTCATGAAACAAAACGTTTTCAATTCAGCAATAATTTCATAAAACTTAGAGATCACATGCAAGCTTGGACCTAAAGTACTCGTACTCAACACATTCATGTCCATGCATATGTATCCGCTTGTGTATTATTTTTGTTTGTTGTACATATCAGGGTTGTGTAAGAGGGGTAGTTAATATTCAAACACACAATTATGATTTTATTTATATGTGTTAGCTATTTGAATGAAAAACATAGCTGTGATGTTAATATTGTTAGTAGTTTGGCACCTTTATTCACCAGAAATATTCACCAACGTACAAACTTGTGTAAAACACAATACGAGGATTGTCCCAAAAGTATCCTCTCTCTCTCTCTCTCTCTCTATTGTAGAAAACAGGCATTCAATATTCAATAAAAAAATCCTGATTTAGAATTTTTTTATTAAACACAGCATTGTCCAACTTCGCCAACCCCCGTACAGTCAAAATATAGTTCCGTGTAACTTCTAATTATTTCCTAAATTGAAAAAATCCTGAATCAGATGAGATGAATGAGCAGATGAAATGCGACGCTCGGAGTTTTCGACGCTTACACAACTGCATACCATTGCCGACTGAACAACTGTTGGGTCGTAACGCTTAGTGGGAATACTCCTCAAGATCCTCCCTAAATACTAAATGCCTGTTTTCCACAATTAGATGCTCAAGGACATACGCCGAGATCGGATACTTTTGGAACAGACCTCGTAATTATGTTTGATTTCGAACATAATCTCATATATAAGACATAAATTTTTCATTAGTGCCAAATAAAAATATTAATAGAAATGAACATAAATATATTATCTTTGCGAAATAAATTTAGATAATTTAAAAAATCACAGTATTCATATATTTTCTCAAAATGATTACAATCTATAATCTTCGTTATTATTTCTGTCTCTACATTTACTTTTTATTATATATCGTCGTAAAAAGATTAATAATTTATAATACATATAAACACAGTATAAAAACATACCTGGTAATTTCTTAGTACGAAAGGAAGCATTTGTGATCATAGACTTCGAAATGGTTGGTGTAGTAGTTGCTGGGGACAATGCAACACTAATTCCAATTGGTCCATCGCTTGGTTGACCTAAATGAACAATAAAAAGTATTATAAATATCTTTATGCAACATCTTATTTCCATATTTAGTTTAAATAAATAATACATGCATTATATGCCTGTTTCTATAATGGCAATTACCTGGTGCTCCAGAACTGGCAGAATTGCGTATAGCGTTGGTAACTAACATTACATTTGGATATGCTTCATAACATGCTCTGTTATGAATATCTTCTATAGCTTGAGTTCCTACATACCAACATTCGTTATACCTACAAATAAGAATATTATTCATATATGAAGAAAAAAATACGTATATGTCTATATAAAAAATGCAATGCTAGCAAATTAGTTCAAATGCTATGCTTTGCCAAAATCGATATATTAATTAAAATATGTAATAAGAAAGATGTAGATAACAGACTAAAACGCTGTTAAATTCGCAAAATGCATACATTACATACATGGCAAAATATACAGCATGCAAGAATTCCAAGAGGAATTGGCTGGATACTGGTATACGTGGTAAAAGCCTTGGAACAAAGCTAGACTCACTGCCATAAGAGGAACGTTGATGATGTCCTGGTTTCATAAATCCTTGAGTAACAAGTCTGCAATAGAGAAAAAAATTACATTGCAATCGAAAATAAAACAGTTTTCGTATAGCTAAGAATTACAGTCGAACTTACTTTGTTGCAACCTTGCACAATTGTTCTAGAGCAAATTTATTTATATATCCAAGTTGTTGATTATAAATAAAAAGTAAGGCTGTCATAACTTTCAATCTATTTTGTGCATTTAATGTTTCTACTTGTTGCAATGGACCCCAGCTTACAAGTTTCGAGTTACACTCTTCAAAACGACGTACGGCACTTTCTGTTAGTGAGGCTGGTGCTAGACTCGCAGGCTGTTTAAAAAAATACATTATGTTAAATAACTATGAAATCTATAATAAATGTAAAATAATTTATAAATTGATACTTTTTTCTTTGTAGAATTTTCTTTAACAATCTCATTAATATAAAGTAAATATATCTGTATTAAATATTAATTATTAAATTACAAATTACAGTAAGATCTTGCTTAAATCCATTCAATGCTATTCCTTTATACCTTTAGAGTAAGCTAACATTCGGTAAAATGATATTTTGCTGAGATGCAATTTTGAACTTCTGTGTCAGTTTAAATTCACTTTAAATGATACACTTGATATATTGAATATAAAACATTAATTATCATTTCTAAATATATATATATCAAATAAAAATACATATGCCAACATACCTCATGATATATGGATAGCATAGCAAGGGATGGTAATCTAAATGAGATTGCTTTTTGTTGTCCTGATTTATCGACCACTTCTAGATTATATAATCCAATTAACAGAGTTTCAAGGGAGCGACAACTCTAGAAATTAGATATTAATAAATGTACTGTTAGAACTTGCTATAATAATTATTTTGAAGTTATAATATAAGAAATATAAGATTATCAAAATCTATACAATAACTTTGTAATTCTATGTATAGTACAATATATTAATTTAACTATCACGTAATTTATATGACAAGTAAATTAATATTTTGCATTATCATATTGTCATAGAATTATGAAGTTATAGATTTTGATAATCTTTTCTTATATTTAGTAATTCTATGGCAATAGGATAATATAAAGTATTAGTGTTATATGAATTACATGTTCTTTGGATTACATAAATCTGCTTATCAATTATATATCATGACAGCGTAAAACATGATTGAGAAATGACACAATATTAGTCGACATTATTCTGTATGGTATATTATATTACGTCTTATAATTTTACAGAATAAAGTGAGCAGAAACAATTCTAGCTAATATTTTTATTTGTTATTTATTTGTTGCTAGAAGCTGCTAAAGAAAAAAATTTATTGCTCTATAAGTTTTTTTAAAAAATAATCTGTTAAAGCAGGATTAAGTTAGCGAAATAATATACATATAACAAATATAATATATATATATTTTTTTATTGTTCTGCTTAATCTTCCTTTAGCAGAACATCGTTTTATAAAGAAACTTACAGAACAACAAATTTTTTCTTTAGCAATTTGTTAGCAACAAATGAGCAACAAACAAAAATATTAGTTGGAATTAATTCTGCTCACTTTGTTTTGCTAACTTTTAAGACGTCATTACATTCTTATTTTCAATAAAAGTATAATCTTACCTTAATATCACCATGTGCAGCAGAATTTAAATAAATATATATTAGCGTTGGTAGAAATTGTAGAGTGAACCTTTGTAACTCTATTTCTCGAGACCGATAAAAGTTGTACAACTGGTTACACACTTCGTCTATTAACTGTAACAATAATCTAAGATTAAAAAAAATATCCGGTTTTATTTTATATAATCAAAGTAACATGTGTGCTTTTAACAAATATTCGAAATTGCTGACATATTCTAACATTATTTACAAGTAATGTTAATTAAATGAGATTATAACAGATGTTTAATGACTCATATGTCTTCTTTTCTCATTGTGTCAATGATTAGATAGCTATTTTTTTCTGAATAAATACATGATGTGATTCATCTAAGACCATCAAAACGGCGATAGAAAGTTTGATATCAAAATATAATTGTTTCCAGAAAATACAAATAATCCTAATTAACTGATTGTAATAGATCTTTAATAACTCATATGTACACATCTTTTTCTCTCACTTCATCAATGATTATGACTATTTCTTTTTCTAAATAAGTACACAATGTATGAGTCACATAAAATTGTTAATGCAACCATAGGAAGTATGATATCAAACAAATTGTTTCCAGGTAATACAATTAATTAATTAATTATAAAAGTTGTAATTTATAACAAATCTTTAAAATGCACATATAAATCTTTATTTATATGTGCATCTTTCTCTCTCAATCTTTGTCAATGATTATATAACTATTTTTTTCTAAATAAGTACACGATATAATTCATCTGAAACTGTCAATGTAGCGATAGAAAAGCTCGATACTAAATATAATCGTTAGGAAATTAGCAGGCAATGTTCCGGCTAGAATTCCTTATAAACGGAGGATGTTCCCCAGGCATTTGTATTATACCTCGCTGTATTTGGTGCGCTCCTCCAAGAGCACATAGAGTGCCCGCACGATCTCATTGTCCTCCGAGAGCGTTCTGGCAAACATGTGCAGCTCCGACGGAGCGACATCCTTGCAGTCCGCCAACCACTCGTTTATCAAGCTTTCCGTCATTTCCTCCTCGCCTTCGTCAACAAATCGGGAGGATCTTACCAACGCCTCGGAGTCTCGGCTTCGACTGCGGCTCGCTGACTATCACCGTTACGGAGATCATCACACAGATTTAACGTGGAGTAGTTGCTCAGCCACGCGCGATGCATCAAGAAGAATACAAATAACACAAGCGTACTCCGAGTCCGGTTACATGTCGCGGGCTCTCGTCCTGTTCGCGTCGCCGATATCGCCGTCGTCGCCGACCTCGGAGCTCGGCACTGGAGCGTGAGAAGTCAACGCGACCACCGAGGTTATCACCAGTCACTGCAGCCGCACTGATTCTTAACTTTAGCCGACCTATGGCGTTACACGTCCGAAATTATCGCGCAGACGAACGAGTTCAAACAATCAGCAAACCGTGACACTTCGTCCCAATAAGGACGAAGATCCATTAAGATCCATCAAAGGAAGAAGATAGAGGAACACGCACGATCTCCGTTGATCTCCGCACGCTCGTTCAGTTGCACTCGCACGCCAGCCAGCAACTGCACTTGCACCTCCTCGTGCCGCAACTACCTGCTGTTGCGCGCGGCGCAGCTTTGAACTTAGCCAATTTACGGCTGCGGATCTGAAAGTACTTGCTACTGGATGATGAAGAGCTTTAAATGTATGGTTTGAGAAATATCTAGTGTGTTACGCAACGTTAAATTTAATCGACCAGAATGAAGCTTCTAATCTTTTTTCGACCAATAGTCACAGCCGTCACAGCGCACAGATATTCTAGATGTGCGTCCCGTATCTAAAGACGACACGACTGCGCAATTGACCTGAAGGTGATATTCAATAGTCCAATCTAAAGATTGGCTGCGTTCAGCAGAGAAAGCAGCTTTGCAACTGTTGTAAAATTCTTCAATACGATTGGTTCTTGCTTTTGGTTCCTGACAGATCTAAATGTATAAACCAATCATATTGAAGAATTTTACAACAGTTGCAAAGCTGCTTTCTCTGCTGAACGCAGCCATTTGTTCGCGTCGCAAGCTCCAACATGTTCCAACTACAACCCCGGATCTACAATAAGGTTTTAAGCCTTAAGCCATAAGAAATGGACGAATCATAGTCGATTATTCTCCTCGAATTCGATTGTAATTGGTCAATTTCTTATGGCTTAAGGCTTAAAACACCTATTAGATCCGGACTAATGCTGGATTCACTTTGCATCCGATTTTCGTCGTACGACGCTTTGCATCCAATCAGAAAACAGGATTCCGATAATACGAAGCAAAATTCATCGGAATCCTGTTTTCTGATTGGTTGCAGAGCAACGACGAAAATCAAATGCAGGGTGAATCCAGCATATGAGTCTCTAGAAGTAGAGAGTCTGGACATTCGGGATTCCGCGTGATTGGGTACGTGACTTGGTGCTCTCACAATGACAGCACCAATACGGAACCTTACTCACTCAGCGCGAATGGGAGGAAAATTAGAATCGAAATACATCATACTCGGAATTTATAGTGGTATCACAGAAGTAACGATGTATGTGTATTTCTTAAAAAATTGAGAATTATATCTTTGGTGAAGATTCTATGTATACATACATATGATGCAATGTATGTAATATACACTGGCTGTATTTTAAAATTCCATTACCACTATTAAAAATCAATAGTATGCACGTAACGTGAACTATAAGGCTTTTTATTTTTAATAGAACTTCTCGCATCTCGGTTCATCTTTTCTCTTTTTTTCTTCGCATTGTATGAAAAAGCAGAAAGTTGAACCGTGTCATTATTATTTCTTCTTACTTAAAAAAAGTTAGGAAACTTTCAGAGCGTTGCGAATAATTATAAATAGACACATCAAAAATATTACTTATTTAATTTTTATAATGACTTAGGGATATTATATGTTGCTATTACTTATCACAAATTGATATGTATTAATAAAAAATGTTACATGACGCAACAGCCAGCCAACCCACACACACACGCACGCACGCACGCACGCACGCACGCACGCTCACACACACACACACACACAATACTGCGATTGCTTTGTCGCTTGCAGCGCTGTGAGCATCAATTGTCTTTGTTTAATATTTAATAAACAACAAGGATTAAAGCGTTGTAATCGCCAAAGTGAACACTGCTTAGAGTACACACACATATTCCTTGCCATTTTGAAAGTACTTCCGCTGAATGTCCAGACTGGGTGCTTTCCAGCAAGGACATAGTTAGACACTGTAACACAGTGTATGATTATGTCCTTGCTGGAAAGCACCCACTACTCTCTATGGGCGTTTTCCAGCAAAGACACAGTGTAACACAGTGAAACACTTCGTCCTTGTTTAACATTGGCAAACAACGAGGATGTAATGATTCACTGTGTTATACTGTGTCCTTGTTGGAAAACGCCCTATTTCTAGGGACTCTAGTTCCAACATGCTCCTACCATGGCTGCGTTGCACTTAACGCTCGCAACGCTCGTGAGCATTGTTTGTCCTTGTTTAACATTTGATAAACGACAAGGATAAAATGATTCCACGAGCGTTATGAGCGTTAAGTGGAACTCAGCCCATAGCTCCTACTCACTCTGGGAGCTTTCCAACAAGTGCGATACAGCGATCACCTCATCCTTGTTTAACATTGGCGAACAACAAGGATGCAACGATTCACCGTGTCATACCATATCACTTTGTGTCTCTTGTTGGAAAACTCCCTTAAATAAAAAAACAGAATTGTATTAAAATATATTACATAAAATCTACAAAAAATGCAAATGGCAAAAATAATTGTTATATAATACCACTATGTATAAGATAAAAATGCTCTAGAGCGTCATTCAAAAGTTTGACAACCATGAGTCAGACTCTGTGTTCGACAATGGGTGCGTTCAGCAGACAATTGTCTGTTTGTTTGTTTTGCAACTGTTGTAAGTTTCCTTCGCGCTAATTGGATCATACTTTTAGATCTAGAAGAATGGTCCTATCTCAGCAGACAATCATAAAACGGTTGCAAAACTGTTGAGTCTGCTGAACGCAGCCAATGCTTTTCGGTAGTCTAATCGTGCCGTGGTGAGTCGTTGCTGGAAAGCACCATGTCGAAAATCGTGTCAACTTGACGTGTGTGAAGTTGGCCCCGCACTTTTCGAATTTTGGATTTTTTTTTTATTGTGCTGTGTTGTGCTACGTTTGTGTCACGTTGTGCCGCAGACCGCAACTCAATAACATGAACCGTTTTCCAAAAAAAAAAAAAAAAAAATTTTTTTTGCTAGCCCCGCATTTTTCGAATTTTGAATTTTTTTTAATTGTGCTGTGTTGTGCTACGTTTGTGCCACGTTGTGCCGCAAACCGCAACTCAATAACATGAACCGTTTTCTAAAAAAAAATTCCATGCTGGCCTTAGGAATTTTTAGAAACGCGAAACTGAAAACCCCTGTATCTCGCGAACGGTGCAAGATAATCGAATTCTGCGAGTTGTGCCAAGTTGTGCTACTCAAAATCTATGTGAAACGTTCGTTGTTGGAAAGAATCATTTCCGACACCGTGATGTGTGTCACCTAGGCTGTGTTCCAAAATTGACGGCCAGTACTGAAAATCTATAGTGCACGTAACGTAAACTGTAGCATTTTCTGTGCTGGCAGTAAATTTGGAATACAGTCCTAAAAACCTTGATAGAAAACTCCCTCTATCAAGCGCGTTGGAGTGAGTAAAGGCCATCACACGTACAAAAATTTTAGTCGGAATCGTAAGATCGCAAGCAAATCGACCAATCACAATCAAAATTAAGATCTCGCGTTTTTAAATGCTCGACTGTGATTGGCCGATTTGCTTACAGCCTTACGATTCCGACTAAAATTTTTGTACGTGTGATGGCCTTAAGAGCTATAGTAGGAGCATATTGGACCGTGTTGGAACATGCAACGTGAACAAACCTTATAAGGCCGAAATCAGACTACATATTGAAAATTGAGATTGAAAATTGGAAGATTGAAATTTGACCAATCAAAACAATAGGAGCTAAAATTCCTTTGACCTCAGTGGTCAAATTTTAATCTTCAATCTTCAACCTTAATCTTTAATGCGTAGTCTGATTCCGGCCTAACAGATGTTGGGCATCGTTTCCTAAGGCTGATATTCATAATAGTCCGTTCTTATTTTAAGACCATTTAAGAATGTCTTAACAGTCTTAAGATGTCATAAGCCTATCAGAGGGCTGCATTAGCATCTCAAGACATTACTTAAGACGATCTTAAAATAAGAATGGACTATGAATACCGCTCTAAAATGGTTAGACTGTGTACTTTAGATAGTCTAATCTAAAATACACAAGGACTGATTGAATACTAAGAATTCATCTGTCATAAGACTGGTGACGAATGACTCGTGAAGCGTCGTCGAGATTCGGCTTCACGACGCGGCACGGTTAGCTCCGGATTGCGCCGCGCTGTGAGGTGTTATCGCGACTAGTCAAGAAAGAGGGGGAGGATAGAGAAAGAGAAAAAGAGAGAGAGAGAGAGGTTTGACACAATCCTCCCCTACGTGCTTGGTACATTGCGTGGTGTCGTGTGTTGCAAACCGCTGACATTGAAAGTATTCCGCGATAAGTGGTGCCGCCGTTGCCATTGTCGTCGTCGTCGTCGTCGTCGTCACCGTCACTGTCGCCGCCGCCGTCGTTGTCGTGCGACAGTTTGCCCGATGCTGAAATGAAGCAGAAGCGCGTCATGTATGGCGACGCGCGGAAACTGTGCGAGAGACAAACGCAATCGGCCCCGTACGGGCCCTGCCTTACGTCGGACTAATGATCAATGGCTTTATTCGAGAAGAGATACACGAATAAAGTGCTGTTAGATGATACGGAGCAGTTGACGAGCGTCATCGAAAATGCTAGGACCATCGACGGACATACGGTATGTGCTCCGGTATTTTGCTTCCTCTTATCTTATCTACTTTTTTTTCCCTCTCTCTTTCCCCTTTTTGTCCGTATCTCTCCCTCCCTTCCCTTCTCAGTTTATCCTGTAATCATCTCGATTTGTTTGTCTCGTTTAAATGAAACTATTGTTAAAAGGAATTTTTCTCTGTGTCTATTTTCACTGTATTAACAATAATTTCGGTTTAACTTACTTTGTATTTTCTAGTTCTAAAAATTAAATTTTTACTTCTAAGTTTTGATTCTAAGTTTTGATTCTTACTAGAAGACAATACAAAGTAAATTAAACCGAGATTAAAGTTAATCCATATTGATAGAAAGGAGCACCTATTTTGTTAAGATTGTAATAACTATATTTTATTATTATGGCATTTTTGTTGGTTTTATATACACATATACAAATATATATATTACTTGAGTCCTCAGCTACACAGTAAGCTGTAGTGTTATACTTTTAAACTTTGATCATTTGTATTGCGTACAGTTTCATTTTGCACCGAATTATTAGACATGTGCTAAGAACTATGATTTGTATATCCAGGAATACGTAATCAAAATACAAAGAGGTCCACTTCCCGAAAGATCTTGGAGAGTAAGCAGACGTTACAATGACTTCGTACAGCTCAATACAGCTTTATCCATATCTGGCTTCGACCTGCCACTACCACCAAAAAGAATTATTGGTAACATGGAGCCAGACTTTATAGCTCAGCGACAAATAGCATTGCAGGTTCATCTCGATACAGCATGCTCACTTTTACTGCATTTGTGCAATACAATAAGTAGAAGATAATCTGCCTTTTATTACAGAATTATCTAAATATAATACTAATGAATCCTATACTGGCATCTTCGCTTTCCACAAAGAAGTTTTTAGACCCTGAGAATTATACTGCACCATTACATGGTAAGTCGATTGTTTCTGAAGATATATTAAAAAGATTATTGTGAAGATGCTCAACAAACATCAAATATAATTGCTAAATAACACAGTTCAAAAACATATTTATGTATGTTATATATTATGTAGCAGAGTTATATCTATGTTTACTGGGTATTATAAAGAAATTAAACATATTATAAAGATGCAGTATGCATTGACTATGTTCAGCAAAGTCAGCGTTTAGTTAGTGCTTTGCGCTGATTGAAATTTACTTTTAGATCATATAGTCCTATCTCAATGAAGAAAATTTTTAACAGTTATAAAATAAACATTTTGCTCAATGCGACCAATGTTATTCAGTAGGATGATTTGATTAAAATTATTGTCTTACATATTACATGAAGGAATTTTTTCCAACATTAAGATGTATAATTTGTTTTTAGATATTAAAAAGCAACTGCATAAAATGTGAAAATTATTTATCTTTTCTAGAAATCGCACTACAACAAGTGTCATTAGCATTACGAAGCGATGCCAATTTTGAAGTATGCAAGCCTATTCCTGATATGGGATGGCGATTGAGGAAACATTACTATACGGTGAAAAATCGCCAGAACCCAAAACAAGAACTTCTACTTGCTTGGGTCGAGTTTGGCCCTGATAAGCATTTACAAGATAAAGATATACAAGGGGTTTTCAAGACCTTAGGCTCTCTACGACACACTTACATCGAACCAATAGTACACCAGCATGTTACAGACAACGGGGCACTAATGATAAGAAATTTTTATTCGGCGGGCACATTACGTGACGTTTTATGTATTACCAAGCCTAAACAGCCATTTATAAAGAAATATGGAAATCCGAAACAAATAAAAGCATTAACAATACAAGAAATTGCCACGTACGGTTATCAGGTTAGTAATTATTGCACACCAAAATATATTATAATGAGATATTTTTAGATTACTCGATTTAATGTACAATATGATTTATAGATATTAGAAGCTCTAGGCTTTCTTCATGAAAAAGGATTACCTTATGGACATTTACACACTGGCAATGTCCTTTTAACATCAAGATGTGCTAAATTATTGGATATAGAAAATGGACTCCTAGGATTGCCGGCATTTTATCGGCCTTATGTGGTGCAAAGACGCAAATTGCACGCCACGGTATATGTCATTCTATATCTAATGGTAACAATTAAAAGTAAAAGAGCGAAAGAATACATGAATTTTTCAATCTTTAAAAATATTCTTTCCGGATGTTTTCTTGTATTTATCATTTCATGTTTTTTAACAGACTCAGGTTGATGTATATTCATTTGGACACGTTTTATACGAAATGACGTTCGGACGACCGCTTTTGGAGGCAACGTGTTCCGATTTACCGCAATGCGAAGCGAATCTAAAAAATTTACTGGAGGTCATTTTGTCACCAGAAGCTTTGAAACAGGATTTACCAACAGTAGTACGACTATTGGAACATCCATTCTTCGAATCGGCGAGGCGCGCTGCGTTGGCAATTGGTACTGTGGAGAAGCCATACTTTAAATTGAGCAATCATTTAAAAGAGGCTTTACAAGAAGCTGTAAACAAAGCCGAACAACGACTGCGCGATGAACAGAAAGTTGCTCGACATCAAAAGAGGCTCGTTAAGGTTCAAGAAATGATGAGTTCAGAAGAAGAAATGAAGAAACGAAAGCATAAGCTGGTGAGTGTAAATAAAAATGAAGTAAAAAGAAACTCATAATGAAAAGTTATTATTGATCAAAATACAATCTTATATTCTTCGTTTACAGAAAAAGGAGCAGAGATTGGCGCAAGAACAACGTTTTTCTTCACAACTAGGTACAAACGGGACAAAACAAATAAATGGTAAGAGCCCAGAACGTTCGGACAGTCCCACAAGTACTTCCACGGCTACCAGCGTTGGAACGTTGACTCCTCCATCGCTTCGTAAGTCATTATAATGCTCCTCCTTGCTACTGTCGTCAATGCTAATTGACATTTACGTTTTTACATCTCTTGATTAGCTGGACACAAAAGTTGATGGCGTATAGTCATCAAGCTGAGGTCATTTCTTTCACGTAGGTCATTCGAGCATTCAGGTCTTCTTAATGTCTTAAACGAATTTTCACATTTATCCTTATTTTCACTTTATAAGATTTTTCCTCTCATTGCTTTGCATTGTTTTCCGTATAAATTTTTTTTTGTAATAACCGTTTTGTAATTACACCTTTAGCTTATTTAGTGAATATTCTTTTTAGATCTTTTGATGTTTTTATAATATCTATATACTTGTCAGGTCTAATTAGTTATGTACCTTACATTTGCAAAGAGACGAATTAGACAGTTTTTTGTTGAATTTCTTAGAATAAAATGTATGTGTAAATCTATGAAAAGTCTATCATTAAAAATTTTTTTACTAAGGTTCTGTGGAAGTTACGCAAGCAAGTGCAGTTCCTGGCAAAAGTATTCCACCACCACCACCACCACCACCATCACCACCACCACCACTACCACCACCACCACCACCTTCGTTACCACCGCCATGTGAAGCATCCGGTGGTGCATCGAATAGTGTATCCAAATCATCAAATGATCGTGCTGCTTTACTTGGAAGTATTTGCAATTTTGACAAGACAAGACTGCGAAGGATCACAAATGGACATCGTTAGAAACATTAGATATATAAAAAAAAAGTCAGGCAAATCTATTTGAAATCTGGCGTGATTGCTGTGCAATGTCGAACAAAGAACTTCCCTTGCTTAATTAGGACAAGATAACGTACCTGTAGATTATTATGATGGATTGAAAGGTTGTTTGGATGATAACTGTATCGTGCTTCTTGCGACACCTAATAGTACTGAATATTATTTCTCTTCGATCGCGACACTTGCACACATTTTATGAATTTTTAAAATTTCGATATCTTATTTATTGATGCTCGCTACATAAACAAGATTTTAGCTTAAAGTAATTATATTAAGAGTATACTATATTAAATTTGTGATATATATATATGTATATGATCGATATTAGATTATCCCGTTTGGCCTATTCTACGTTTTGACGAAATATAATACAACGCTTATTTCGTTTGTATTAGATCTGCCGTCCAAGAACGAGCCTAAATGTACAGAACAACCAATCAAAATATTAATTGCTTTGGAAAATTTGCCATTTTTACGAGTCATTTCATATCATATTCTTTCCATATGTATACACGCTAGAGATAGAGTGAGTGATTAAAAAAAATTTATATAATATAATAACAGTATATAATTGTATATTATCTAATTTACGGAATATGCGTACAGTAATTATGCTGGGAGCAATTTGAAATATTTTTAGATTTATTTTGATTGACATTTTTATGACTGCTCGACTGTAAATCAAGAATATATATTCGCGATATAATTATTCGAGAAATTCCATTTTCTAGTCTAACATATCCCCGTTATACAGTTGATAGCATCATCAAATTTTATAACATATCTTGTTTAATGCGGGCCAAGTTTCGCGATCGATTTTATATTGTTAATGAGGCTTATTTTTCTCTTTCTATGTATATCAAAATTTTTTTAATATAAAAGAAAATAAAAAGGCAGTGATACAATGAGGTGATAGTATGTATATTAAGGAAATTTTCTCGTTATACTCATCTACTGTTCTGTCTATTCAAAGTTTATGACGTACATAATATATATAAATACATAGTTCTCATTCGTGTTCGTACGATACAATGCGAGGATCGTATGCCGCTTTTGTATCGCTCGTAAGACTGGAATGTCCAGTTTTACAAATTAAAAACGTGCCAAGGGATTTGCGATCTTCGTATTGATAGATTATATAATATCAGCAGTTATGTAACCCATAGCATAATCTATTTCTATATATGTCGACAACAGTCAAGTGTATGTCCTGCATAATCAATTTGTGGATATTCTAATGAAATCTGTAATATATAATCACACCTTTTAATATATTTATCACTATCTTAGATGTATATGGCAACTGTGTAATTGATTTCTGATGGTGATAATAACTCAAAAGGCATATAAATAATAAGCTGGAAATATATATTAGGATTATACATTTATCTCTACTCTTCAGGATTTACTAGTAATTATATCAGCTTCCAAAAAGTTGTCTACATACATTCAACAGTATAAAATAAACTCTTGTAATCTTATAAAATTTTAGGTTCAACGAAATCTTGCAAAAAATATCATGACTTTACCAAAATCTATATCAATGTATTTGACAATATAAATATTTTTTGGAAAAAACAGACAAAGAACGACAGATATTAGAGTTAATGTTTATCGGCAACAAAAATACTATTCTTTTATGGTAAATTGTGTTTATGCACATAGTAATAAAATCTTCAGAATCGATAATCAACGAACTCTTTGAGAGTCCCTTGTAATTGGCATGATTTTTATGTATTACTTTAGATTACCCTTTGCAGAGTCATTGCCTTACACGTTTGTAAACAGGTAGTGTATATAGTATGCAGAAATGATGTAGAAACTTTACGTATTCTAGGGAAGGGAACAAAAATTTTACGTTTACTGTTAAGAGAAATGTGTGAAAAATGATAAAACAAACACAAGTTTTTATTTCAGACGCTAGAGAAAAACGATATTTTAATACTTAATAATATATTCAACAAGTATATGATATATACATAAATTTATCACGTTCGAATAGCCTCAAAAATTTTGATAGCAGTCCGTGTGTATAGTATAAAAGTATATGTATTCAACATTGTGTATATACGTACGGGAGCGTACATAGATATGCGATTGTCATAATAACAGCTGTTGTAACAACTTAAATATATCGCAATAAATATTTAAAAAAAATTATCATGCATCATCAACGAACGAATATATTGATTTTTTTTCTTCAGCTATCGAACGAAGTAGTAAAAATTATTTCCTATCCATGCTGCATCTACATCCAATGCTTTTCAAACGAGTTTTTATGCAATTTTAGAATTGCAACATATTACAACTTACGAGTGGTAGGCGAATCTTTTGCGCTATGCATATAACGTTTGTTTGTTTAATTGCAAATATGAATGCCTATTACGAGTCTCCTAACAAAACGAATATAAATTGATGAATTGACACGAATTGGTTTGTAACGAGAACGAGAAACATGTAATTAATCAATAATAGTGTGCGCTTTATTCGCACTAATAATGACACCTTAGATTTTCGAAAATAAAATGATGGATGAGGTACTGGCATAATTTTTTTTACAGTTACGTTATTAGATTTCGGTTGCATTACGTAGTCCCTGCTTGTACTATCAAAACTTTTATTGACAATCGTAAAATCATAATAATAATGTTATAATTATTCATACTATGTACATATGTAATATACAAGAAATCCTACTTTTGCGCGCGAGAAACAGGACATCCTATATATAGATATTTATAAATCTGTATATATTTATAAATCCTGGATATAGATATTATACAAGACGTTACTCATAAAATATATAACTCCTCGAGAATATATTAGGAATATATTAGTAAAATGTATCAAAAGCTCATGCACTCCTCCGCTAGAAATTTCTGATGAAGTTGCAATCAACTTTTTCTTCATTAGAAAATTTGTTCGTCTATTTATAATATAGAAATTAAATATCTATAATGAAACTAATAAAAAGCAAGTAAAATTTATTAATAGCTTATACTTGAAATTAATTAAACAAAAATTAAATCTCGTGAGGATTCCAATAAATCGCTTAAACAGATCTTAATTTCATATTAATAGAAAAATATGTAAAATTGCGGAAGCAAGTGCATAACTTTATAGATGTATTCTATGTAGGCGTATCAAGTGATCTCTCGAAGAGTTACGAGGAATAATTTAAAAGACGATAGAAACGTCGTAGTTCGCAGAATGACTTCTAATACAATTGATACTTACATTACTTAGTATTGTCAAAAATACTACATATTACAATACGAAAGTACGCATTAAAAAGGAAACTAATTTCATACGGATTTATGTTTACATACAAATCTCACTTTTGTTGACATCAATTTCTCTTTATATTTTTGGCAAATTAAGGCTAGACGGAGGGACAACGAAAAAGGGATAATCTTCGTCATAACTTAGCATGAAGCTTTTCTGTTGCTGCTTTCAATCTGAAAATGTTCAAATATTTTTTCACTTTCTTTGTTCCATCAAGCATTATTCAATAGTTCGAAACATTAGACTGATATAATTCTAGCACTACCTGGAAAGCTCTTGCTGAATACGATCAGTTATCGCTTTTCGCGCATCCATCTCACTTGCTTTTGATTCTCGCAATTCGGTCAGCAATCCGCTAAAGTCTATGGGCTCACCGTAATTCATGGTAACTCTTTTTCCTACTTTAAGCATATACGGCGGTTCGTTGGGAAGTACTTCATCCATACCGAGATGACAGATAGGAATTACGATAGGCGTGATGGGTGATTCCAATATTAATCTACCCACGCCCCATTTCAATCTAAACAATATCATTGATTGTATATTTTCGCTGCGTGTGACTATAGTATTATTATTAACACGGAAATAAGAACCTGAGCTGTTTTTATAGCGACAAGAAAATGTGAATTGTAAAATATTGTATTGTATATTATTTAACATGTTTCTTTTTTTTAATAATTACTCTTTACGAATCTTTAAATGTGCAATTCCATCGAAAATGTGCAATAAAAAAAACATTATATTAATTAAAACCTTTATTTTGTTATAAATACTGTCATAATAAGCTATTTATTAACGATATTTGTTCTGTTTAATATTTGTTTGATTTTTACTTACTTTTTTTTTTTTTTAGAAAATTCTGATTAATCCGAGTTCTTTAAACACCAAAATGTAAAAAAAATCAGATGACTACTTCTGGATATTAACTTCTACAAAACGCTCATCTATGCACCACCCTCATTTTTCGTACATATATAGAGCTTTAAAAAGGTAATATTTAATTTAATAATCTACTGTTATCAAAAATAAGTTCAATTTTTATCTTCTGTAGTCGATTTGAAGTTGCAAAAATGTAATTTACAAATTATAAACGTTTTTGCATTTTAATTGCATTAAAATATACACGGCGACGCGACGGAGTAAACTTTATAGACAGTTTGCGTAGATCACGTTATCAGAACAAAAGATTGTAAAAGTAATTCAAGTACGAACCTCATCTCTTCTTTAAGCATATTGACTTTTCCCTCGGGGAAGACATGCACCCACTCGCCAAGGGCCAACCTTTCGATGCAGAAGTCCATGGCTTCCTGATACACGCCGTCTCCTCGGACGATGGGTATGCACTTGCCGAGCATGAAAAAGTAGGAATGCCAGACATTCGTGAAACAAATGTCATGCGCGGCGAGCGACCATCGTACCTTACGTCGGCTAAACGTGTGCCTGGGGTCCAGGGTCGCTAAATGAGTTCAGAGATTTTTCTGTCTTAAATTCTTTCATTCGCGATCGCATATCGGCGTCGTTCTGAGAAAGAAAAACACGTCTCAAAAGAGGGACAAAACGCACATGAGGATGTCGATTACAAAAAACTAACATTTGTCTTAAAAAAAATTTTTTAAATATAGAGAAAAAATTACTTTTAATTATTATCGGCACACATTCTCAAACGTCAGGGACACAATGAAATGAAGAACAAAGATATAAGGAAGAAAGAACGAAGAACGCATAATAAACGGGGGCATCGATAAACGAATGACGCAGATATTCATGCTTACTGTATCTCATTGTTAACTAATGGACGCTTATCGTCATTGTTCTTCATTCACGTTGGATCAATTCTTGTAGTTAATCATCTTATCGTCAGTTAATGATGAATGTCTTGTACCAGGGAGATTAAAATCTTATGTACAATAAGAAGCACAGACAACAGGAACACACTCTAAAAATATAAATCAAGTAAGAAAAGCGTCAAATTACTGTCAAAGTTAGACGTTGAAATAATATTCCTATATGTATTTTAAGTACATTTATCTGAGATATACATATGACTGCGCGTCAATTACTTTCAGACTTGCAACACAATCACATTGAAATAATAATAATAATTTCACAATATAATAATTTCAAATTAAATTTCATCGTCAATTTGATGCCAGCCACTAACATCCCTTTACAGGTTCAAGATGCAATCATTTCAGGTTGATTATGTTGCAAGTCCGAAAGTAATCGGCGCACAGTCATACATCTGAGACAAATGTATTTAAAACCCGATTAGAAATTAAAATAGGGTTCCGATAAGGACCCTATAATGTTTGCCTGATTTAGTTGTCGGGACCCGATACTATTACTTTATCGGGATCAGAGTAAAGAGCACATTGTAGATTAGGCTCTAGATTTTATTTTCTGTTCCTGATGCCTGTGCTTTTTACTGTGCATAAAGTTTAAATCACCGCGATTCAACACTGAAAAAAAAGATGCATCAACAGCATATTAATTAAAACTAATTTTGTTAATTCAATAACATCATTAATACACAAACAAATACGTCATGCCCTTGTTTTAATAAAATTTTA